GCTGTCAACACAATGACGCGCACTCTTGTGTGTTTCACATGTTGTGATTCTTTTCCATGGAAAATTGAATGCCAAGTCATGTTTTTTTTTCCTCAGATAAAGTATGAATGATGTGATACAAAACAGCAAAATCTTTTAGTTTAAATTTGAAATTGGTGCAAGTTGTAATGATCCAGCTCCTTGGCCTGCACAATCAAATCATTTAATGGAGTTTGATGCAGCTTTTTCCTACACACTATCATGCACAGCTTTGTAGGGATGGCCATGGATTGTCTGCTTCAGCGATACCGTGCTAATCAGACAATTGTCTCCCATAGAATCCACTCCTTATCCATGGCTTGGAAATGCTGACTCTAGCAGACTGAGACTGTCATGAGAATAGGGTTATGTTACACATCCCAATACTTGGTTTCTTACGAGGAAGCATTGTGGGTCAGACTTCCAAGGGTCAAGTGTTATGGTATAATTCAGAGGTTTGTAAACATGCAAAGTCTGTGTTCAAGTTGAATTTCTCCTGAATTGAATGAAATTCTCTACTGTACTGTTTAATAATTTGCCTCCTTCCTCTCCCCTTGTATATATTTAAGAGTTGTTTACTAAATCATAAAAATATTACTCATTATTATACATCTGTCACCGTAACGCCATAAGTTACAGCGTGCCGTAATTTTGCGGTATTTTACGGGGTATTTTCATCCTACCATATAAGGAAATGTGAATTCCATAATTCTAATAATAAAACCAACATGGCTGCCATCAGGGTTTGACCGGACTTCACACAAAGAAGTGTGCTAATTCTTCTCTCTAAACCTTTTGGATTTCGGCATGTATCCTTGGAAAGAAAAGATGTATAATAATAGTAATAAGGTTATTGCGAGAATACCTCAAAGTATGCAGTCATACTTCAGCCAGACAGTACGCCACTGCGCGTCGGTCGATACTCGCGCTGTACTGTCTTTGTGCATACTATGAGGTATTCTCATAATGACCTAATATTATGATCATGCAGAAAAATTTGTGATTTTCACATTGTTTTTGTGCTACTAATAGAGCAAATACAGTATATGGAATGCAATTATTTTTCTATTTATAAATGAGTGAAAATTCAGTGAAAAAAAATTGATCGTATCGGTAATGCTAAATCAATTTATATAGATCATAGATCACGTGCTTACAACAATTAATGAATAATGTACAATTGTTTTTTGTTTGTTTTTTTGTAGTGATTTTCTCATCCTGCCTGGCTTTATTGATTTTACATCAGAAGAAGTTGTAAGTATGATTAATTATGTGATATATTGAATACCGTAGTTCTAATGCTGTGAGATGGAATAATAATTGCGTGCAAAGCAATTGTAAAACGATGAGTTTTTGTCTCGTACTGCAGTCAAAATAAAGCTGATTCAGCTACCACTGGTATTTGGAATATTAAAAAAGATGACCCAGCTTTGTACACCTTTTATATTAACCTTTTCACCAACAGTTCCCTCTTTTCATCACAAATTCACAAAATACAGTACTCATTTCGCCCAGCCTCCTGCCCGCTTCCGGATTTCGATCGCTTTTTTTTCGCTTGCTTTGTTCAATTCGACCGCGCAATTTCCGCTTTTTTTTTCGCCCGCGCAAATCCGGAAGTATCCGCTCGCGCAATCGCTCGCTCGCTCGCCTGACAGAGCAACCGCCCGCATTTACAGTTCATTACCTACTGTTTCATGTACAAGTGTGTCATTTTTGTTTTTATGATGTTGAAATAAGAATAAATACAATCAAAAATTTATAGAACGACCCACAGTCCCTCAACATGTTGAGGGACTGTGAACGACCGTTGAAAAAATACGGTGGATAACACGGCCATATATAATTGGTAATAATACATACGCGTAGCAATAATGTCCACCATAAACAAGATCGAACCAAACATGTGAAATCAAATACGACACTGACACAGACACAACTAATATGAAATAAAACCATTCAATTTTTGGTGGAGAGCTAAAAATGTCTACTGTAGAGTATGGTATTCATTGAATAACCGTGTATAGGGTGACGGTTGTCATGCACGCATGGTTTGGGTTTGACACGGGTCAAGTTGTAGTTATGTAAATCTATGGCACCTATAACAATGAAG